GGAGGCGACGCCGCTCGTGCCGGCGGTGAGTGGCCGTTGCCACCGGCCGTACGGATGCCGCCGACGTGGCGGGAGCCTTTCTCGGCCCTTCCGGAGTCTGGGGCCGTGCGGCTCCCGCCTGCTCCTGGGAGACCCGCTTGGCGCTTGACGCTGAGACATCCAAGAGGCCAGAAGCGCGCCGTTCTCACCGGGCGGGGCTCCCCGGGGGCAGCGCCTGCGGGCGGCCCCGCGCCCTGCACCTCTGTCCCCACGGGGACGTGCACCCGCGGCCTGCTTCGGATCACGCGCTCCCGGGGGCCGGGTCTCCGCGGGTGTGGGGCGGTGCTGCGGGGCGCCAGGGTCCCCAGGCTCGTCTTGGGACACAGGGCCTTTGGGGTGTCCCAGAGGACGGCTGGACCCCTGAGCCAGCCCCTCCCTCGGAGCCCGCCGGCTGGGCTTGTGCTGGCCGCCGTGGCGCCTGTGCCGGCGCCCTGTGCCGGGGCGCGTGGGGCCTCGGCGGAAGAGACTCGAGATGGCCGGTAGTTCCGGCGGGGGCGGCGAGCCCTGTGGGCCCGTGGGGCGGCGCCGCCCGTCGGAGCCCCCGCTGACTCGGGGCTCCCCGCAGGCCAGAGTGAGCCCCGAGCAGGAGCACTTCCTCATCGTGCCTTTCGGGCTTCTCTACAGTGAGGTCACCGCGTCCAGCCTGGTAAGGCGCCTCCTTGCGGCGCTCGCACCCGGCCTGCTCCCGCGAGGTGGGGGGCAGGGCGCTGGGAGCGGTGGCTCGGAGGCCCCCGCGGCGGGCCAGGTGGCCTGGCCCAGAGCCCTGTCGCCGTCTCCTCAGGTCAAAGTCAACCTGCAGGGGGACGTGGTGGACCGCGGCAGCACCAACCTCGGCGTCAACCAGGCCGGCTTCACGCTGCACTCCGCCATCTACGCCGCGCGGCCAGACGCCAAGTGCGTGGTGCACATCCACACGCCCGCCGGGGCCGCGGTGAGTGCCGACGGCCTCCCGGGCCGGTGCGCCTGGGGCAGCGGGTCAGGACCGTCCTCTGCTGGCTGAGGCAGAGTCTGTTGAGTCTCGGAGACAGTGTTTCTTGGGGGCGCCGCGACCACTGCGTTTGGACGCCTCCAGGCAGCGTCCGCGTGTCCCTCGTCAGAACGTCACGGCGGCGGGCGGCGGTGGCCCGGTTTCCGCCTGGGGTGGGCTGTGGCCGGCCTCGAAGGTGCAGTCGGGAGGGGCCCACTGGGTGGGGTGCAGTGGGCTCTGGGGCGGGGCTAGGACAGGGCCCAGGAGAGAAACCCGGGGCTCCCCCATGGCCTTCGCCCGTGGCCTCTGGCCGGGTGACCGCGGGCAGAGGCTCAGCCCGGGCAGGACCCCGGCGCCCGGGCCCTCCTGGTGCCAGGAGGCCTCTGGGCGAAGCCCGGACCTCTGCGGGCGAGCACACACATCCTGGTGGTTGGGCACGAGGCCCCGTGAAGCAGAAACTCAGGAGCTCTCAGAGCCCAGCTTTTACATCCTGCTAGGCTGCCGCCCCCGGACGGCCTCGCCGCCTGGTCACACTGGCTCCCGCTGTCCCACGCGGCCGTGCCGCGGCCGTGGGGCTGTGGGCGCCCGTCTGCCCGTTTAGTTTACCGGGCGCGGCCTTGTCTGGGTGGTGACTCCGAGGACACGTGCGGTCCTGGTCGCCGCGAAGCCCGGGCCGCAGCCACCTACGTGGGCGGGCCCTTGCTTCTTGCGGGAAGGCTGAGCCTGTGAAGGGGTGAAGTGAGGGCTGTCTCCTTGCGGCGCCCCCAC